GGATTAACATTTCTATGGAAAAATTCGCCACATGTTCCCCCATCCAGGGAATCAGGAGACTGTCGGATACCTAATCCTTGATCAACCTTGTATGAGAGGCTGATTGTCGCGGGGACACTCTCCATTATATTTCAAGGAATCAAAGGTTAGCATGCGGTCACGCTACGTTAGACCCCAGTCATTTAGCGACGGACATCATGATCATCATCATCGACACCATAACATCAGTGTTCACCAATGCTTCGCTGCCGTACAACCATGATTTAACTAGAACCCTTAGTGTGAGGAGAAGAATAAAGGGATATCTTTGTAATGTACTACTCATAAGGTTGCTGAAAATCCGTTGACAGCCCACGGCCAGTTTTTCCCTATTTTGGGCTCATCAGGTAGGCGTAGCCTCCGGGTTTCCGTCAACCTTATGTTCAACTTGAAATAAAATTACACGAAACTGGTGAATATATACTCAGTTGCAAACTAATTCGGTTTTTCAGGAGACTCACCTGGAACCCAGGTGAATCTCTCGTTTGTGATGTCCTCATGCAACTGAATGTGCTGCTGAATACAGATAGAGGGGTGAGGGGTTTAGTGCTGGCTTACTACTATTATTCCGACGTGCCTACACATCCAAACACTCATCTAGGCAATATGGGTAGGCACTGACGACAAGATCGCCACTGACATTGGCTGGAAGCCACATCTTGAAGCGTCTCCAACCAGACGCGGTGAGAATCACGCCTTTCCCATCCTGGAAGGCGAGTGGCACCGACAGTACCCAAACGTTTCATGGTTTCGTTCATACCCCTCTTCCGAGTCCAAACGTCTAACAACTTCCCAATTCACAGACCTTGCCAAGTGAACAGTGCGGAGGCGGTTATCAATAGGTATCCAGTCAAAAAAGGATAAATCCGCCCGGCTATGCCACCCGAAGGGAGCACTAGGGTTGGGATACTGACAGGTTAACCAAGCCTAGACAGGGGAAGTCGAGAGGCAGAGGTCGGGTTCTAATCACGGACCTTCCGGTCAGTGAATTTCCGCTCTAACCACATGAGCCGTCTCCCCCCCGCCCTCCCGGAAATGAGTGGAGGCTGATGGGGCAATCCGCTCAGTCATCGTGCTTGCATCTTGAATTCCTCTGTCTGGGACACAGGACACATCAATGCCAAGTGAGTCCAATGTGAGAGCAAGAGTTTACTTCCTTCGGAGTGCGGACAGACAGAGTGGCCAGACACTTGATGTCCAGGCTTGAAGATTGATTAGAAGATACCCGACGATGTTGATGCCATATGACGAGCAAATGTTGTATGTAAAATGGATGCAAGACTAACGGAGACGTCAGCCCTAGGTGATGGGCCTACAAGGCGAGAGTTACTAACAGGGTAGGGAGAGGGGCAAGATAATGTATGTGAAAGAGAAAGGAGGCGCCAGCAGTAGCCTATTTTCGCTTATTTTCGCTTACCAGCCCTGCTGTATACAGCAAGTAAGGTGACCCGGCTGATGGCACCACGCGAAGACCGATGTGGCATGAGAGTATTGTTAGTTGTGTGTGTCATGGTTGTACAAGGGCGCCCACGCCTGGACAGGAGGATGACTAGTATCCTCAACCAAAGTCTTTGGCTCAAAAGCCAAACCGCAGGGCAACGGTGCTTGGCGGGAGGTGCGAATGCATTACCATTTCTACGGAACAAGTTGCCACGTGTTCCAACCCCCAACTTGGAGGACCAGGAGACTGTTCGCCAGACATTTAGCCATCGACCAACTTGGTATGAGAGACCCTGTGAGTGCCACCTGGATATCCCTTAGCATAGCTCAATGGGTCGATGAGGTGCGCAAACCGTCACACCGCGGTAAGGTCCAGCATCTTCGTGACGGACAAAAATAATCGTTCAGCTGTAACGCACTTCCAGTGCCTAACTGCCATGTCACCCGAAAGAAGCGCGAGTGCTGGGATACTGTCAGGTTGCCCTGGTCAGGGAAATTGAGAGGCAGACGTTTGGACCACGGACCTTCCGCGCTAGCCACTGACCCACCTCAAGATGGGATACCTCAACTAACCTCCATTCTCTGGCTTAAGCAGCCCGGAAATATCGTTTGTCCTCGCAGCTCTTCGCTCACCGAACTTCCTCTACACTCCCGACCCATCTACCAATCCCTTAGGCACTGTTCCGTGTCTAAATCTTTGCCCAGAAAAATAATGCACAATAATCACCAGATCCGCATTTTAGCCTTTAATGTCTGTACTATATGTCAACTTTGATAACATGGATCTCTCGGCGAAAGCATCTTTCCACATCTGTCGATGTATGGTGTGTCTCCTAAACAATCGCGCACGACCCCACTTCGACCGTGTTCTTCAGGCCGCTATGGGCGAGCTCAGTTACACATTTCACTGTTCGGGAATTTTTGTGGTGCAGGATGGCTCAGTGGTTACAGTACACTATCCCTGTTCTCGTGCTTCCTTCGAGTGTAACGGCAGCTAAGCACCGTACCTCTGTTACAGGTAAACGCTTTTTCGGGTATTCCGTGATCCTAACACCATGGCTCGTAGTATCTAAGTTTGAGAATTTCACTGAGCCCCAAGTCCGAAAGCACCTTACTGGACTGGGTCTCAACACACTGCGGTTGTCTGACAAAATTAAGGTCAACGCAGGTAAACGTTGTTTCTTTGTCGTGTCAGCACGCGCCGCGAGAAACTACAGTTCTAAGCCTAAGAAGGACGAATTTTATTAAGGTTCCTCGCGACTACTGCGATTAGGCAGAAAGACGGTTATAGAAATGTTGGCCGGTAATATGAATGTCCATGTTGGATAATGGAGATCGACGGCTTTATTTGTATACAGACAATCGTCTGTTCCAGGCCAGTACAGATTTCCAATGCAAACGCACACCTCGAATTACTTGGAGGCACCCAATCGCAAGACAGTTATGGACTGAGTTGAACCATGTGGCTATCAGTTAACGTCATTTCAAGGTTGTCGCTCCCGCTGGTATACACAGATCGACCCTGATTGTTCGGGCTCGGCTGTCACTTAACTGGCCCTTAGCAGTACGCGTGCGGAAGCAGAGCAGTTCCTTTTATCAACCCCGACAGGTTTCAGTAGCTGTAGAGGTATCTGTTAGCTGGGTGATTTAGGAGCTTGATGGAATTTATTCCGTCATGTTTGATAGTCTAGTGCTTGAGTGCGAAAACCTCAAGGAAGAGGGGGACACCAGATGAAGATAAACTATATTGCAGACAAACCAATGAAAGACTGGTGTGGTTCATTTCGCTACAAGAGAGATAAAATGAAATTTCAGTGAACTATTTCACAGGGTAGGATTGTTCGTTAGGACCTGACCTTCCTAACACGAGATGACCTGGCTAGAAAGCTACTATTGCACAGTGATGCAGATGACGAAAATTGCTTGGAGGCTGAATGGAAGCGGGTTAAAGAAGCTGTGCTGTCAGCTTTCAGAACTATCTGTCCAAGCCATCTGGCTCGACCAAATGAACACGGGATATCGCTAAGAGCAGGTCTTATTGCGGCCAGAAAGGCCATGCCGGATGTATTGGATTAGTGCAGTAACAAGCCGTTATCGAGACAGACAGGAAGAGGGAGCTGTGCGGAGAGTGGACGAGAGGAGGCGAGATGGCCCAAGTGGTTAGAGTGCGAATTTACGGACCAGAAGGTCCGTATTTCGAACCCGACCTCCGTCTCTCGACTTCCCTTGTCTAGGCTCGGGCGACCTGGCAATATCCCAGCCCTCCTGCAACTTACGGGTGACACGGCAATTAGGCACCAAAGGGTGCTACAGCTGAACGAGGAAACGAAGCTGAGTGCAAACCGCGCGCGTTAGCCGTGAGAGCATTGGGTGAATACCGATTGAAGGTTGTCAGATTGTCGATGTATTCAATGCGCCCAGGCGACGGGGCCGTGCAGCACGAGTTCCTGACCAGCCCAAGCAGTCTTGGGAGCAGATATGATCAAGAGCACAGATTCCGTGGTTGCTCTAAAGCGGGGAAAGCAACAGGCCACTATCATGGTGCCCGCGGATCCCTTAGACACCAGATATTCAGGAGCTTAAAGAATGGCAGAGAAAGCTGGTGGATTTCGAAGGCCCAGGAGTCATAATAATTATAATAATCGTTCAGCTGTAGCGATCTTTCGGTGCCTAGCTGCCATACCACCCGAAGGGAGTACGAGGGCTGGGATACTGTCCGGTTGCCCAAGCCTAGACAGGGGAAGTCGAGAGGCACAGGTTGGGTTCGCGCTCTAACCACTTGAGCCATCTCGCCCCCAGGAGTTTGAGTAGATTTTCGTTGCAAGTGACAGCCGCGCCCTATCTCTGCTGATTCGGTCAACCGGTCAAAAGAAAGTGGTGTCGGCGGAACAGTGCAAAACAGTGTGCTAATTAGACGAACCGAATCACTTTCCCAATTTTCGCCTTTAGGGATGGGCTGAGCACTTCAAAAAACGGTTTACGTGGTCTCTTTCAACACAACCGCCGGAAAAAGCCAGTGGCCCACTATCAGCAGCAAAAATCCAGCGTGAGATATCAACCCTCGAGCAAGACAAGGACCCTGGTGCAATCTCCTATATCCCGCAGTCTTGAAATAAAGTGGCAATGTTCTGTTGAGTAATCTATCATTCATGCTGCAGATTTGGAACGAGAACAGAATATTTGCCAAATGGAGCTCCTCGACCGCCATCCCAGTTTCCAAGATAGGCGCAGGGACCTTATGCGACATCCTTCGTGGCGTCAGCGTGGTATCCGTCGTATCTAATGTGCTCTCTGTTATTATTTTGCGTAGGTTGTTCGATTATCGGGAGGGAGATTCGTGAAAACCAAGCTGGGTTTCGCCCTGACCGAGGATGCATCGACCATATCTTTTGAACAGGGCCACTGCTTTAAACGTCTTACGGTGGTTGTTTTTCTTGAGCCAAAATCTGTTCTTGACTGTTGCTCGTGAGAAACTTTGGCGTGTCTGGCGACCAAAGGTCCCCCGCAAATTTGTATAACTTATGAGGACGCGTACGAATACGCGGCAAACTTGCCTGAGTTCACCACATCCAGTGGTGCATGACAAGGCTACCCTCTCTAACTTTTCCTCTTCAGCTTCTTCATTGGTGTACTGCTTCAAGTTCATCTGCTCGCCTCCGAACCCTCAAGAGGGACTTTCGCTCATAAACGTTGAGTCTGTGGTCGATACTGCTCTTCTCGCTTCAGATGCTTCAAAAAATGCAAACCAGCCTTAATAATTCTGCCGGACGGTTTAGTATTCTCTTTTCACGTGCAAAGTGTAAAATCCGGTTACAAGGCTTAGTGAGATCAAACCCAGACTCCATGCATGCAGACGAGCCAATCGATGTGGTAGATGTGGTCTGCTTGCTGCATCTGAACAGTTATGGGGGCGAAATGGTTCAGTGGCTGGAGCGCGAATTTACTGACCGGAAAGTCCATGGTTCGAACCCGACTGCCTATCGACTTCTCATGTTTAGGCTTGGGCAGCCACCGCGGTGTTAGCCTGATAAGTGGTATCTAAGGTGCTCTCTGGTCTTATCCTTCGAAGGTTGACTGAATCATTCAGCTGTAGAACCCTTTCTGCCCCTAACTGCCGTGCGACTAGAAGGACGCCCGAGGTCTAGGATATCACCAGGTCTAGACAGAGGAAGTCTGGATGCAGAGGTTAGGTCGGAACCACGAGCCTTCTGATAGGTAACTTCGTGCCCTTCCCAATGATAACAGAGAGACAGATACGTGAAGACCGAACTCTCACCATGTAATGCGTCACTGCCCGGCCAACCTTTTCGTCTTTGCCTTTAATGATTCATCGGCCACCTTGCTACCCCACCTCGTCCTATGGTCCCAACTGTTCAAGACTCGATTCATTTTCGATGAATAGCGGTTGTTTTACTGTTGGTCTTTGGAGGGACAATTTCAGTTCCCTTACTGCATCTGGATCGACTTTATCTATTGCTACCCGAATTATTTCTTTAGTATGCGGCTTGCATACTCATTTACTGGAAGTAACCAGTGTCTTGTTGAAACTCGAACTTATTGATGGAAGACGCGAGCATCTCAAATGTGATGCTCGTGTTCACTGCAGTTACTATCATGCTTAGGCATGACACGCTCCCACGGGTTCACTCACTGGAGTTATCTCCCCGGACTCATGCGTTGGTATCTTTGTCTCCACAGAAGCCTTTTGCCACTCCAACTGTGTGCAGGCGTGGCCTTAAGATCATTGTCGGACAAGACCGTATAAACTGCCCGACAAATGCCACACGTACGCGGGCTGAATGGTTCTGCTGTGAACTTTCGGGCCCGGTAGTTTAGCACTAGGAGCCTGAGGATTCTGTGTTAAGTTGCAAGCTATCTTGTAAGAGCTTTGAGGTTACAACTCATCGTGAAATCTTAATCACGTTGCCCTGGATTGGACAACCTGACAGCGCCCCACCTCTTGTGCCTTTTTCGGGTTCCGTGGCAGCTGTGCACCGAAAGGATGTCACAGATGCGTTGGGATTTGTTTCGGGTGAGATGGCCCAAGTGGTTAGAGCGCGAATTTACTGACCGGAAGGTCCGTGGTTCGAATCCGAACTCTGCCTCTCGACTTCCCCTGTCTAGGCTTGGGCAACCTGGCAGTATCCCAGCCTTCGTGCTTCCTTCGGGTGGCATGGCAGCTAGGCACAGGAAGGGTGCTACAGCTGAACGCTTTTCTTTTCTTTTCTGTACCTGTACTGAGAAATCAAGTGCCTTTGTTTAGCATGTCGAGTGGTTTTTTTCATTCACTGTGTTTTGCTTCAGCCCATGATGGTTGCTTTGTTGTGAGCTAATGAAGTCATCACAATAAGGATGCAGCGTTTACAGGATTCCGAGCTGTCCCGTTGTCCTTCAGAAGTTTTTGAACTGATCTGTAAGCTCGGCAAAGGGTCCTATGGAAGTGTTTTCAAGGCTCGATACAAAGCTACAGGTGGAATCGTGGCAATTAAGAAGGTGAGTTTGAAATTATTGGGGCCGTTTCGACAGATTTTGTGTACTGGATGCTGGAATGATGCAAGTGTCGAGTTTTAGATTGACAGCCACTTCAAACCATTCATTTACTGCCCATTTCGCATCCCAATTGCAACTTTTTATCAGCATACCAGTCTTTCCGACTTGCGCTTTTAAGCAAAAATGTCTGTTTGGTCCTACTTTATTGAACTTCAGGATACTACTGTATGTACCTGTATACACATATACGTGTGACTATTTTTACGGCCACTGGGTAGATTTGGTGGTTTTTCGGCTTTCGTGATTTTGTTCCTGATCACGCTTTTATGTTAAGATGGATATCTGTTTCCTACTTTGCTGTGTACACTGATTGTGTTATCAGGCCTCTAACGTGTGATTATTGCGTAGAATATCACCATCAGAATGAACCAACGGATGGATCACCTCTGACGTGATGGATTTGAAAACGTCCACTAGTGGGGTTATACTACTCAAAAAGACCCGAGGCATTGGGGTTAAGTCATGCCGCATGGCTCACGCCCAGCCTTCTTGTAAGTTCATAGCCCAACGTTATGGCAACCGAGCAGACAAATCGGCTGTGATGATGATATCTCATTGGGATTCTTTGGTACATCATGAAGGTAGCATGTAAACTTTTATGCCACCGTGCCGCAGGCGCTTTTCCGCTCAATAAAGGTGGTTGTACTATCCATTTCAGGATGACACAAGATAGAAGGGTTAGGATCCGTAATTCTACCTTGTGTTTGACCCATCTCACTTTCGACTGTGCGTTATGTTTTACAACATTTGCATTGTGTTGGATAGGATAGCACAATAACAAATGCGTTGTTTCCATTATTTACTATTATCAATGATGATATTTGTTTAACTTTGGAGGTTTCGCCACAGTATTATATTATCCACACGAAATGACTGTCTCGTTTCGCTTACGAATAACGCAGGTTCCGGTGGACAGCGACCTAACTGATATTGTGAAGGAAATATCGATCATGCAGCAATGCGATAGTCCATTCATCGTCAAGTGTTACGGAAGTTTGTTTGATAGTCAAGATTTATGGATTTGCATGGAGTACTGTGGTGCGGGTTCGATTGCTGATATCATGAGATTGCGCGGGAAGGCACTTGAAGAACGAGAAATCGCCACTGTGCTCCAATATAGTCTTCGTGGCTTGGATTATCTGCATCAGGTGAGTCCCTCTTTTGATTTGCTGCCTGTACGTATAAGTGTATAAGTGTATACGTGTGTGCACTTATATGGTCAATTACGTACATAGTCCTTTAATAATAATAATTCAAATAATTGTTCAGCTGTAACACCCTTCCGGTGCCTAGATGCCATACCTCCCGGAAAAAGCACGGGGGCTGGGATACTGCCAGGTCGCCCGGGCCTAGACAGGGGAAGTCGAGTGGCAGACGTCCTTTACGCTTTACATATATACCATCGTGAGAAAATGCAAAGAGCTGAATGCCTATTTTGCATACCAATTCGGTTTTTACGGGAGACCCATTCAGAACCTCTCGTTTATGGTGTTCTTTTCAGCAACCTTAAAAATAGTGCATTTCTTCTGTACAACGTGTCGAATATCGCACCAACTGAAGCATGAGGCGGCTTTGGGCAGTGCATTCAGTTACTTAAGGACATCATAAACCAGAGATTCAGCTCGGTTCCAAATGAGCGGGTCTATGTAGCTAATTTGGTGCAATTTGGGTTCCAGTTGAGCTGACGGAAACTTGGTGGCTGCGCCTACCTGATGAGCTCCAAGAAGGACGAAGCCGATCGCAAGCTGCCGAAGAGCTTTCAGCAACCTAAAGAATGATGCATTATATCTATGCGAGCAGCTTTTTGGAATGAATTTCATTGCGTTTCCGTGAGCGATAGCGTTAAACCATTGATTTCGTAGAAGTGCGTAAAGATACACAAACCCATATTGCATACCATGCCGCAGGGTAAGCTGGAAAAGGGCCTCTCTTCAGGATTGGTCTCGCAACACATCTTTGCTTGTCTAGAGTTGCTGTATGTTACCTGTGTGTCGATGTCAGTGACGTTCGTATCATCAGCTTGTACTCAAATGGTCTGAGTGGTTTTTTGTATTTGTGGGCACTTCGTGTTCCAGACGTAGTCATTTGCATCAGGACAACTGAGGACAAGTGAGAGGCCTCATCACTCCTTACAACTTTGGCAGAAATTCGTCGATAATGACTTATTTTGAGCTTCCCTTTCACAAAATGAAACGTTTACGTTTAATTAAATTTCAAAGCGCAAAAGTCGAAGATGTCCTGTTGATCGCTCCAAGCAACGAGACCTACATTGATTTTGCTTCGATTTCGTTTTTCGTGGGGATTACTTCGTTTTGCATCCGCACTTTGTATCTCCTGTTAATGCGTTCGTTATCAATTTTTCCGCAGATGCGCAAGATTCATCGTGACATAAAGGCTGGAAATATTTTACTACTCAACTCCGGTACAGCCAAACTGGCTGATTTCGGTGTTGCTGGACAGCTGTCAGACACCTTGGCAAAACGCAATACTGTCATCGGAACCCCTTACTGGACGGCCCCCGAGGTAATTTTGTTTTCGCGCTTAGCTTCTGCGGCGAATCTCTTCAATCCATACTGCATTTTGATTTATTGGGCCTTTGGAGTCCAACGGGGACGTGTGCGGCTGCACCTTCAATGGTCATCCGTCAACCGGATCGCCCTACTCGCTGCGTACAACGGGGCGGGTGAGCGAAAACATGCTACTGCTGATGCTTCCCGGCTTTCTCTTCCATCCACTTTTTCTTTTCCTTTTTTCCACCCCAATAACCGTCTCCTTGTGGGTTCCTATTTTAGGACTGATGACTCCATCTGTCCTGCATAGGTTTTGCAAGCAACGCCTGCACATCCGGCGCTTACATCCTCATGCAGCTCTTCAAGCCTCAACGCCCAGTCTGTCCGGCTGCTTTTAATTTTTGCATTCTGAGGCATACAGAACAACGGGCTGTTCTTGCTCTTTTACCTTACTCGCTTGACATTGATTTGTGCTGGGTGTCAGAAACAAGAATTCAAGAGACAAGCACAATGGTTGAGTTAACTACTTAATCATGTTCTCCTATCCTCCGGCTGCGCATCTCTGATGAACCAAAGGCAGCTGCGGCAGGACGTTCAGGGGTTAATGTCGTTTAAACTCACCGGGCGGAAGGATCCCTGCTCGCTTGATTCTTCCTTGTCGCCTCAGTGCAGTTCATCTAGCAGCGTCCGTGAACGAGCCTCAAGCGAGAGGTTGATCACAGTCTGCTTGTGTTCGGAGGCCAGCCATCTCTAATAACCGAACATCACATCGTTTGAACGTATGTGTCACGTGCAGGACACCGGCCAAACGAAGGCATGGTATGACTGGTCAGAATGCCAACCAGTCCGGGCCGCGCATCGTTGACCGGACGCTTCTCGCCCCCTCACGGTGCTTCTAGCACGACCTTGTGGAGCACTTTGTGACTACCCTATTAATACAGTTGTGATAATTTTCCTTTGTCTCCATAAAGGGCTGTGTAGAGCTACCGTGTATTTTGATATACCATGGTGCATGCCTGCTTACATTGACAGTAGCCAACTGACTGCATCTCTGACCACCGTGGAAAAAAAGTTGTATGACGCTTTGAGTGTGCTGTTGCGGCGCGCTAGTAGCTCAGATATCATGTTGGTTGCCGGAGATCTGAATTTACAAGTGGACAGGCTCAGGGCATCTGAACATCAACTAGGTGGTCGATATGGATTGGACTCGATGCACGTGGACATTGGCGAACGATTACTTTAGCCATTTCCTGACACCAGGGTGTTTTTACCCAGTACTTACCTTGGAGATAGCGTATGTTGTATGGCCACGCGATGTCCCCCAGCGCCGTGTCGGCTAGGAGTTAGAATTGGGCATATCGCCATCGATTATCGATGGTGCCAGTTGTTTTAGGACACAGGCTCGTCCTGAGTCGCTTCGCCCTTCGTCTTCTAGAGCCATCTAAGGTGCGGCCAGATAGCTTAGCATCTGAAAGACTGATAAATCCATATGTTGGACGAATCTTCCAGAAGCGTCTAGATTCTCTTCCAGCTGCCCCATTATCAGTCATGAATTCATGTTGGAACGAAATCCCCACCTCTTTGCACAATTCTGAGAGTTTTCCCTGATACACGGCTCTACACTCAAGCACTGGATATAGGAGAGAACGGCGACGCTAGTTGAATTTCGTAGAAATGACCCCGGGTGATTAACGATCTGGCTCGCGTGCACGCCAACCGTAAAGTGTGGTGGGTTATGGGAGCCTGTGGAAATGTGGGGAATGCCTGAATTTTATTTCAGTCGGTCCGTAGGACCGATCTTTGAAAGCTACCTGTGAGCGAAACTATCAGAGATCAAAATGACACGATCATCTTGAATAATTGGATATGCCTGGACCGCTGGGCCGAATACATCGAACAGCAATTTTCGCGGCCAGCCACTGCTAGACATCTAGAGGCCACAACCGACGTGGAAACTTAAACGGTGAACGTGGAACCCCCTTACGGCTTCGGAGGTTTATGATTGTATATGTCCCCTCAAGCGCCACCTTAATTCTGGTCCAGGTGACCTCCCACTCGAATTGTTCAAAGATAGAAGCGAGGTCTTCAGCGAGCGCTTGTTTGATGTGCTGGCATGCATTTTGGAAAAGGGGACTGTCTCAGACAGCTTGGAGAATCTCTGATAGTGAATATTTTCAAAAAAGGGCTCATATTGATTGCCATAGCCGCAGGCGGATCAGCTTGTCCCTAGTTGGCGTCACTTGTCCTTCGTCGCCTTAGGGTTGTTTGTGAAAAACTGTCTCGAGGTCAGCGGACTACACTCCCCTATATGCTGGAACAACGCATAACGTGCAAACGACTCACAATTTCAGTGTTTCTAGATTTCTGGGACGCATTCGATTTGGTTGACCGATTTGTTATTGACATGCACGCCCAGCAATAAACGTCCCGGATGTTCGTGAACACAAGAGGCTATTCGTATTCTCAGGATGTTGGGCGTGTGATAGTAAATGGAGAGCTCTCCAAAAGCTCCAGTGTTCACAATGATATCTATCAGGGGCATTCATTCTCTGCATTGTTATTTACTTTTGTGATTGTCCAGATAATGAGACGAGCGCCAAAAGGTCTTCAAAATGCTGGTTCAAATAACTGCCGGCAAAAATCTTGTTGTCCTGGAAGATCTAGACGACGTCTTTCTTATCATAGAAAGTTAGAAGACGCAGGTGTTTTTGAATGAACTCATCTCGTGTTTTCGTATGCTCTTTGCCCCATGAAGTGTAAGGTCGTGTTCCTGGAGATGTAGTCAATGCACACGCCACTTGAAGTTTCTTCTCTGCCCAATTTTAATCTTTTCTTCAGAACAAGGCTTTCGAATAAATTGTAGTTGTACAGCAGCTAAGCATCAGTGCTGAACACTGATGTTATGCTGTCGATGATGATGATTCATTTGAATAAGGGTTGCATACGTGGACAAGAAGTTGGATGTCGTTGTTGATCCTAATCCGAAGGGCCATGGTGTCTTGTAGGCTTTCGAATTCTGAGCCTCTTGGGTGGATATCAGATTGCAATCATCCTTGGTTTGATGCAGTTAGCCTCCCGGATGATCATTGGAAGCAATATCATGGGTACTGCGAATCCCACTACACGTTTCCACCGACTTCTCTGAAGCTGTTGTCCAGAAGATGGCTCTTCCGGTTTTATCTTTCCCCTGTTCTGCCAATCTTGTCTCACCCAACGTATCCCAGTATCAATGTCGTAAGGCTTGAATCCCTTGGCGGTAAATGCTTTCGGTGGGTTATTCCCATCGCTGATGTCCTTTTCCAAGCTTAGGCTTTCTATTGAGGCTCTCTAACCAAAATGCCTTCGTGACATAGTAAACTACTCAAATTTGCTGGCAGCCCACGACCGCTGGTGTCCTTAGCTGCAGTGTGCCGGTTTCCATCAGCCTTATTTTCTTGAACACCAAGTTGTAACCAACTGGAGAAGTAATCTTAGTTACGAACTACTTTAATGTTGGCGGTAGGCTCAACTGAATCATTTTATGGTGCTCATTAACTGGAGAATAACACAAACAGCTGATTCAGCGTTGTCATATATCGTATTAGTATACTGTGTTTTTTGGGTGTAAATGGTTTCCGCTAAGGACATTGATTTCGAGTCTCGTGCGTATGGTATATATATATATATATATATATATATATATATATATATATATATATATATATATATATATATATATATATATATATAGGATAATACTCAAAGCCGTAGCTGTAGGGACACTGAATGTGAATGTACAAATTCCCTTTCAAATGTTCAACATTTTACTTAGCGAATGGATGCTTTGGTTTGGACTTTAATCATTACCAACTGATTTACGTAACGGTTCTTCACTTCACATGAGCTGATCATCCTGCAGATGGGCCTAACCTAAAAAGAGATAGTCGGCGAAGTAAGCTGTCGTTGCCTTTTTTAAAAACTCATCAACTTTTACCAAGTTCTTCTGAAACAATGACTTCTCGATCAGTTCCATAATTTCTCCAATTGGTTGAAAACTCGTCAGCTTCTTTCGGCTCGCCTCCAGCATTGTGTATGTTGTCTTGTTTGTTCAGGTTATCCAAGAGATCGGATACAACTACTCGGCCGATATTTGGTCTTTAGGTATTACGGCAATCGAAATGGCCGAAGGGAAGCCTCCGCTGGCGGATATCCATCCGATGCGTGCTTTGTTCATGATCCCCAGTCAACCACCTCCTGCACTTCGAAAGCCCAGTTCTTGGTCCGCTGAGTTCCGTACTTTTGTCACCGCCTGCCTGTCCAAAACACCGGAATCGCGTCCTACCGCCGCCGCTCTACTCCAAACGGAGTTTACACGTCATGCACAGTCATGTTCTATCTTACTGTAAGTTTTCATTGTTTCAGTGCCGGTAATTTTTGCTCGAGTGTGGACTTCTACTAGGACGATAATACATGGCTTTTCTTGGGCGATGTACTGTCGTTTGATGACTCACCCATGGCTTTACATAAAATGTGAGGGTTTCATGCAGATAAAGGTAGGTTTGACTTCACCGTGCTTTGCCGATCTATCCCACACCTTTGATGAGAAATCTGATGATTAGCCCCATTTTTTATCATAAGACAAGCAGCAGTTCCACCATGTTACAGGGTTCTTCTGACAGATATTAGATTGAAAACTGAGTCATTGTTTAGAAATTTCTGAGAGAACCCTGTCACACTTCGTCTGGATAATAATCGGGTTACTTAATTGCACGTTCCATTCGAACAGGAGTTTCGCGGTATTCGTAATGCACCAACATTATTGAATCTTGCGGCGCACTAGTCGAGTATGGCT